AGATATCCGCTTCAGATTCTTGTTTCCTTGGTGAAACAGGAATTCTTACGATCTAATCTCTTGTTGTGCACCTTGCGCACCGGATGTGCTGCCGAAATTTCCGCTGCGCACAACAAGATAATCTTTCAATAACAAAACATACAAAAAGGATTTTATAATTAAAAAAATCTTGTACTGCTGATCAATATAATTTTTGTTATCTTAACATGAAACAAACTTTTATTTCAAGGCTTAATCATTCATGATTTGAAGCTAATTTTTTTTATCTTAACATGTACACTGCCCATGAGAATCATACCTTCCAACCATCAAACTTCATATTAGCCACTTATAACATTATTTGAATAGATTTTGGGACTCCCAAATGATAAAAATAATCTTATTTATAGGTACGATAGTGTTAGGTCTCATGTTTATGATCCTAACTTCTAATCTGATTTTGATGATTAACAAACAAATTTCTAACATCGTTTATCGAGTGTTTGCATTTGATTGTTAGGTATCTTATAGAAAGATCCTCCGTTGGAGGTAGGGTTTCAGAAATGAGCCTTAACGATGAAACCATTTCAAGAGATTGGAAGGAAATCGGAAATGAAATCCGTCGCAAATTTCAGATCAAAGATTCAATCATCAACTTTCATCCGCCAACCAAGACAAGCTTTAATTGAAAGATCTATTGCTTTGTATAGTTGTTTTTTAGGTTTATATTTTGTGTGTTATACTTTAAGAGCTTAAAAATCCATAACACACACACACACTTTTGTTTTGATTTATCTCCGTTTTGATTTATAACTTAATGAACACACAAAATCTTGTATTCGCACTGTACTTTTAAGAAGATACACGTTTTATAATACACAAAGACATTTGGAGGAAGTGATTTTGGGAGCAGACAGTGTTTAATTCTAAAGAGGAAGTGGGTTTGGTAAGTAAAGCCTAAGGGAGAGGTGGTAAAATCCAAACACCTGAGGAAAACCACGGGCGAGTCCAACACATAGAGGAGTGTTCCTTTGTTGGGATGACAACGTTGTGGATTGTAAAACCTTTTTTTCGGTGAACTTTGGAAACCCGAATTGTGTAGTATCTTAGAGAAATGAGTGGAGAAGCTCATCGAGGTGAGTGAGCGGAGACGTAGGTCGAGGGTTGAACCGAACCTGCCATGATCATATCATTGTGTTTGCGATTGTTTGGGCGCACTGATTAATTTTTCTCCAATTGTTATATCACCTATTATCTTTATTTTGTTATTATCCTTGCCAATATTTATCTTGTAATATCATAATGGTAAGGATATTAGTTAATAAAGTTTATATTTGAACATTTGAAAATTTCGATTAGATTAGCCAATTTACAAATATTCACCCCCCCTTCTAAGGTACTTTTCAAAAGATAGGTTACTTTAAAAGGTGTTTAATTGCTTAGAAAATATTGGTGGGTGATAAATGCTATAAAAAGCAATGGAATGATGGGGGGTTTATAAGCCAATTTAACCTTAATATTTATGAGAGATAGCAGTCCTTTTTCCAAAAAAATTTAAAAAAAATTTCAATTTTATTATTTGCAAAATCATGAAAGACTCAAATTATTGGACCTGAAACTGCAAAATACACTACAATCGGACTTCTCAAAAATTTCAAAAACGTTACACTTTTTTGCTAGAGTAAAAACAAGAAGGTAATTAATTTTAACGCCCAACCACAAAACTGAAGTCCAACTTTGTGCGTCAGAGTTTAATAATCACCAACGGCACAAATAACATTGTGAAGCTCAACCAACAAAAAACCCTGACCTGAGGAAAAAATTCCCCAATTATTCTCTCTTCAATCTTACTGTTAGCCAGAATTTCCTGAAACGGAGGGCAATGTTTCTGAATTCCAAGCATGCATCCAAGTTTGATCACAAGCTCCAATTTTTCTTCATTTCTTTTTGGCCCTATTTTTTTGGGTAAAATGCTTGATTTTGTTGCTATTTTTATTGATCTAGTTCTGCATGCAAATGGCTATCTTTTCAACTTAATTTTGAGAGCTTTGTCGCCCTGATTCGATATTTCCAATTAATCATGCTAGGGTTTTATCAGCTGCATTAGGTTGATACCTTGGTAGAATTCTCTAGGGAGTATACTTAGTCATTGAACCTTGCTCTTAAGGAATCAGTCTCCAATCCTAAGATTCCTCTTAAAAGAAAGAATGATTTTCTGTTAAAGTAATAGTTTGGTAAATTTTCAGTTATTTATAATACAAATTGCAAAGTTATTCATTTCATGAGGTTCGTGCGAAGCATTCTCAATGGTATCTTCGAGATGATCGCCAAACTCCTTCTTAGCTGACTCTACCCCTGAAAATCCACTTCTTGATTGGCAATGTCTAATCAGCCTCCATTGATAACCATTGAATAGTTAACGCTGTTTCTTGTATCAGAAAATCATTACGTCCCTCTCAAACTCCAATCAAAACTTCATTCATCAAGGTGGACTTTGAAAATCTTTGTTTTTCCTTAGTTGGTCATTTCCTTCTAAATTCCTCAATGTGCAAGATTTGGTACAAGAGGGAGTAAACAGATCAATATTCTCCCATCTTGCACCTCCTCCCCATCCTTATCAGTGTATACCACAAACAACACATATGTTGTTAATGAGATCTTCAACAAGGGGACCCACTC